AAAAGAAGAAGGGGACGGCAGAGAATGAGGTGGCTGGATGGAGTCACCGAAGCAGCCGGCGTGAGCTTAAATGGACTCAGGGATGGTAGAGGACAGGAAGGCCTGGAGGAACATTGTCCTTGGGGTCACGATGGGTCGGACACGACTTCGCAACTAACAACAATAAAACCCCAATGTGTTAACACATTTTTCCTGCCCTAGTGGAAATTAGGATAGCTTCTCTGCTTTTCCTTAGCATCAAATTCATGATGGGACAGTTAAGAGAAACTGCTAAGGACATGTACTGTATGGTTCAACCATCTTCAGAGAGGTATCCTTCGGATTATAATTTCTATCTTCTCCAAGCATCAACGTAATGTAGCCCGGATGTGTCAAACAATATGGCCACAGTTGGTGAAGTATAACAGGGAGGTGAAGTCCAACCTATCTACAGGACAGCATGGAAGAGTTAGCAACTGCAGTTTGAATGCTTTTACATAAAGGAAAGAGCTCTAAAGTTTGCTTACACTACACCCTCAATTGCACCTGCTATTACCTCCGTAGAAGACTCTCCATCTTCAGTCCATAGAAAGGGATCCACGTGGCTGGGCAGCAAAACAGAGCTTTCCTCCTTAGGTAGCTGCCTCAGAGACAAGTCCCTCTGGAAAATTAATCAAAATACGATTTACTTTCTGTTCTTGACTAGCATTGCGTGTGACCAATTATATACCCACCCTCACCTTCTAGTAACAAATCTTAAGATAATTACTGTGGTCATACCACCTTCACCAAGGTCACCCAAAGCATGCTACAAGCTCTCTTTCGCAGGTTGGAGACCTTGTTTTGGCAAAACAATTCAGAGAGACAAACTCGGCTTCCGAGACAACCAATCACAGTCCATTTCCAAGCTGTGCTTCCAGGTAGTCTTAACAACAGCGTGGTGACAATGGTAACGGTAGTGTTTTGTTTACTCCAAAGAGCCTGTCATTATAACCATCTTCTTTATCTAGGCCTAAATATCAGCTTGACTAAATGGCTGGATCATGGTTCTTTCTTTCAAGTAGATGGCTTGAATTCCTTTTGGGATGTATTATTGGGACCTTGGGTTTGGATCAACTGACTCATCCTAACTTTATCCCCAGATGTGCTTCCTTCAGCTAATTCTTTGGTCCAGGCTGAGTCTGGTCAAGCTGTTTAGCTTCTGAATTTCAGGACTCGGATAAATCCGTACCTAACGGGTGCAGTTGACTGAGCTGGTCAACTAAGGCATTCTTCCCTAAATCCAGAACTAGTTAAACACAGTAATGGTCACCCCATTCCGTTTTTTTAGATTGAAATCATATTGGAACAATGCAATCACAAATTTCCCACACCCTCTTCCCTCAAACTTTATCTAAGTTTGCTTCTTGGGTTAGAAATTTAGTGATTTCCCACTGCTTAAAGGTAAAGGTTCCCCTCGCACATATGTACTAGTCGTTCCTGACTCTAGGGGGCGGTGCTCATCTCCATTACAAAACCAAAGAGCCAGCGCTGTCCAAAGATATC